TCCGTTAAACATCTCTGCTCAGAGGAATTCATACTTTTGAACACTGTGGCTTCGGGGTTGTTGAGCCGGCTATGGTTTGTGTATTCAAAAGTCTGTCTTGTTTGTTGACTGTCTGTTTGACGTGCCTCTCAGGGAGAAGGGCTTGCAATTAGGACTTGCTGCTGACTGAGCTTTATTCAGTTGGGAGGAGGAGGGGGGTGTCCCTCCATCCTTTTGGACTTGATTCTAGCACCTGAAGAGTTGTGTAAGTGGAGAGAGACTTCTTACATGCTGTTACAGAAGGCTTTGTTCTTGGTTCATAGAAAACTTTATGTAGCACTAATAAAACAAGTGTTAATGCCAGCCTGCCGCAAACATTAACACCAGGTGCTCTTCGCAGAAAGCAGTAAGTCCTGCCTCCTGTTGAAATGGAAAGGCTGGGATAAAGTTCTATGATACTGCTGAGTTTTCCAAGGAGATCAGTGTTCTGGTTTCTTCCAGTACGAGAAAGTAACTGCTGCCTATAGCTGAAGGAGTAAGAGGATTGTGTAGAAAAACTCAGTGAAATGTTCCTTGGCACAAGAAATCTGTCTCCCCAGTAAACATAGAGCAAGCGATGGTACGGCATCAGTGCTAGCATCGTTGTCCTGGGTTGGTATGGGTTGCTTTTGGGGTAAGACCTCATGTCAGATGATTTGGATGTGACCTGAGAACCTGATGAGTCCCAGGTGTGGCACTCAGCAAAGTGCTAGGGAAGCAGAGGGGCTCCTGATCAGAGATTCACTAGTCTAGTCCGTCCTATGTTTTGAACAGGTCCTTAGCACTCAAACTAATATTAAGGAAAGCATGATGATGGAGTGTAAAAAGATAAGCTTGTATTGAGGGGGAATAGGGAAAAGGCAGCTTGGAATCTCTTCCATTAGCTCTTCCACTTGAGCAAAAGGTAGTTACTCAGTGAGTGCAAGGTTTTCCTAGAGACCTTTCTGTCTTCTCTCTTCAGGATTCAGTACAGGTGCGTACTGCAGAGCCTCATGTCCTTGTATGGCATCCTGTCGACATCACTTCATCTGGTATCTGAGACCCAACAGATGCCTTATATCAAGGGGTTTACCTTCCCTTCTGATATCAGTAACTTCCTTGGAGTTAACATTTCTTCTGAGGTGAAGCAGCAAAAGGCTAGAATACTTACAACAAAAAAACCTACCAGCTGGCTGAAGAAGCTCTTCCCAGCAATGTCAGAAGTTGGGAAAAAGAGAAATTCTGCAGCCTGCACGAGTGCTGTGAAAAGCTGTGGCATCCCACGCCCTGTGGACATCGGAGAGCCAGTTCTGGTGGCCAGAGCCAGCAGAGGTAAAGCCTTATGCCACAGTGCTACTGGTTTCTGACATCTCAGAGACTCACTGCAACTTCTGTCCAACAGAGCCAAGCACCTGTACTGCCCACAGAGTGCAGTTCTAGTGCATACTCCCCTCTCCTGTCCTTGGAAGAGGAGAATGCTGCATGTACCCTTGCCTTTAAAAAGCTGCACATGTCAGTATTGTGGGGTGGGGTGTTTTGTTTCGTTTTGTTTTTGTTTTGGTTTTTTTTTTTTTTTAAACGTGATGCAACCTGGAGAGAAGCAGGTAATGAATACAGTATATAGGTCCTGTAAGTAGTTACTTGTATTTTCCTGCTTCTGCATAGATGGGGCCCAAGTATAGTGAGGGAAGCTAAGAGCACCGTCTGCAGTCCACACAGGACTAGATACGGGTGTAAGTACAGGATGCAGGTATCCTGTGCTCGCTGGTTCTGGGCCGTGCCCAAGCCTTCCCCTGCAGTCAGGGGTATGGCCAGTGACTGCAGGCATCCAGGTGTTTGCATGAAGCTTTTACCCATTAATTTCTCCTTTGCAGCCGTCTGTAAATCTGTGTCCTCTTCATCCCTTGCCAGCTGCCATGCGAGATGATTTTAGTCCCCTTGAGTTTGCCTGGAAATGCTGAGCGCAGGTGTGAACCTGCTGAGAGGGCAGGAGATCTGACAGCTCGGCAGGGCACTGTGGTGCCTCTGTGCAAAGATTTAAAACTGTCTTTGCTTCATAAGGGGAACTCTTTTCTCTCTTTGTAGGGAAGCACCTGGGGTTTGATGTGAAGAGCTTACTTAGACTATCCAGACCTTCAACACAAAAGGTTTGTATGGTACTGTTTTACACCCTTTTTTTTCTTTTTTTTTTTTTTTTAACTTTAAAGACCCAAACACTTAAAACATGATAGCCCTGATTGAAAATGTCCCCTTGCCCTGACATATTTTCATTTGTCTAACAACACAGGTTAGTGTGTAAGCTTTGCACTGAAAATCACTACACATTTCTGCTTAGGGATTTGAATGTTTGTTGGTACGTCAAGTGAAATGACCGTAGAGCAAGTCAGTAGAGGACAGGAATACAAATTGTAATTACCTACCTCCTCTTTTTGTATTCTACAAAAGAAGACTGCTCTTTCACTTTCTCCTTAAGAACTAATAAATGTTCTCACAAAAACCTCAGTGCTCTGCTCCTCTCCAGCATAGAGGATCAGGCACATCATGTTTTCAAAAGACTATTTCTGTTACTCTGTTTCAGGGTACAAGCACTGCATCAACACCTTTTAAAGCAAAGTCAGCATCATCTTCCTCTCGTATAGCAAAATTGCAGCATACTGGATCTCTTGTACAGATGGTCCAAACAGCTGCATCATTTGGGGAACTGTCAGAGGCACTCAGAAAAGCCATTCTGTGGTGCAAAGGCAACAAATTCAAATCAGAAGCTTATTTTCTGCGTAATAAGTTGTTAAAAAGCAACCGGCTGCACCATGTGGAGGCTCAAGGATGCAGGTAATTTCACATGGGTGTGGGGTTTCTGGATCTGACACTTCACATTTTAATATTACCTATTTTGCTACAGCGTAGTGAAACGCAGTGGCCTAACCCATTCTTTTTAAACTCAGATGGGGTCACTAGTTCATGTTACTGGATGCTCTGACCTGAACATTCTGTTTAGCTTCTGTTTAGCTTTGTGAAGGGATTTAAAGGGCTAAAGTGCACAAATACTTACGAGGGAAGGTGAAAATGCAATTTAAATCGTATGCATGCTTAATGATAACGGTTATGATGCAGAAGGCGTCGTCTTTCTTCAGAATGCCCTGGCTACTATTGTACAAGGTGCTGTTATATCTCCTTGGTATGACAAGGAAAATGGTAGAGAAGGCTAATACCCAAATCTCTCCAAACCCCAAATGAAATAACGCTTTAGCAGCTGATAAAGTTGTTCTGTGCACTTTCTTCCCTTAAGCTTGAAGAAAAAACTGTGCTGTGTCAAAACATCTGTCCGTAAATACCTCCTCTATGGGTCACGAAACGCACACTGGCCAAAGCAGTACCCCAGGGCACAGTTCTGTCGAAGGGGGATCAAATCATCTGCACGTTTGAAGAGAGCGCTGAAGGCTGTTCGGCAAAAACCTTCAGAGCTTTTTGGGGTCTGTGAGAACAGTGCATCACTCAGCCTCCCAGCTTACCAGCAGGGGCCTCCAAGGCGGGAAGGACAGGCCAGTGCTGACAGCGGCCATGTCAGACTAAGCACGGCAGGGACCCCTAAGCAGCTGCTGCTGGAAGGAAGCCCTGGCCCTGCGTGGAAAGAAGCTACTGAGAACATAGATATTGATTCTATTTTTGCAGTTATGGGTGTCTGACCTGGACTTGCAAGGAGGAAAGGAGTCAAGTTATTACAATTTTTTTAAGTAAAACCCTCAGAATCCTAATGGTGTCTTTGTAACTCACACCCTGAATTCTGCTAATAAAGTACCAACTATTTTATTATGTTTGTGTAAAACAGCTTTTTTTTTTTCCTTTCAAATTAGAGTAGGATAATGAGAAAGAAAACTGCATCTTAAAAACATTATTCTGCCCCATTCCTTCCTTCTTCCTGGGTTTAACTACTCTTCCCCTCCCCCAGCAGGCCAGGGGAGGGGAAGTGGGATTTGGGGTCAATTAATCACACATTGTTTTGTCTGCTCCTTCCTCCTCAGGGAAAGGACTCCTCATACTCTTCCCCTGTTCCAGCATAGGGTCCCTCCCGTGGCAGACAGTCCTCCACAATTTCTCCAGTGTGAGTCCTTCCCACAGGCTGCAGCTCTTCACAAACCGCTCCGGGGGGGTCCCTCCCAGGGGGTGCATCCTTCAGGAACAGACTGCTCCAGGGTGGGTGCCCCATGAGGTCCCAAGTCCCACCAGCAAACCTGCTCTCCAGCGTGGGCTCCTCTTTCCACGGGGCCACAGGTCCTGCCAGGAGCCTGCTCCAGCGTGGGCTTCCCCTGGGGTCATGGCCTCCTTTGGGCACATCCCTCTGCTCCAGCGTGGGCTCCTCCCCAGGCTGCGGGTGGGGATCTGCCCCACCACTAACCTCCCCGGGCTGCAGGGCACAGCCTGCCTCACCGTGGGCTTCACCACGGGCTGCAGGGGAACCTCTGCTCCGGTGCCTGGAGCACCTCATCCCCCTCCTCCTTCACTGACCTGGGTGTCTGCAGGGCTGTTTCTCTCACGTATTCTCACTCCTCTCTCCAGCTGCTGTGGCACAGCAGTTTCTTCCCCCCTCTTACATACGCTTGCCCCCACTTTTCCAAGGAAGCAGTCTCACACCCTTCCTTCTGTGCTGCTTGTACAGGGGACAGAGCCTTGACTTGCAGTATTATCACTGTTCAGCATTTGTTACCCTTGTCCTGAACCGAGGAGTTCACATACTGCCTCTGAGCTGCCCCAGAAATAGGGGAAAGCACAGCTGTGGCCTGCAACAGTAAATTCCTGACTGAGAACATGTTTCTCACTGTCCTGAAATCTTTTTTAATATAAGTGCAATTTCTGCCTGCTTGGCAGTGTAAGGCACAGCTACTCCAACATGTATTAACGAAATAATCCTAGAACAAGCAATGGGGTTAGTGCGTTCTGCCAGGCTTTTGCTTCTAAATCCCAGTATCAAGATCACCAGGAAATACTAAGAAAAAATTGTCTCAGAATGAAGAATGGGAATCTGCTTTATTGTGGATGACTTGCCTACCAGGTGTAACAGAGGCTGCAAGTGCAAGTAAATCTGGAATAGGTTAACTTCAATTTCCTAAGCTTAACACTGGTAGAAAACAAAAAAAGCTGTGCCCACTGGGACAGAAGGAAAAATAACCTTCCTGGCCACTTAAATGCTAAACCTCCTGTATTATGCACCTTGTGTGAAATGATCAGTGTAAGTTTAGTTATGAGGAGTGGGCACAAGCTTAAAATGTTTTATTCAAAGAGCATATACAGAGCAAAGAGCAGAACTGCTATAGTAGTTTGGGCTTGAAGAATTTGTTCAGTTAGCCAAGATCCATTTTCTATGTTTCCTGTCACAGGAATACCCAGTGATAACTGAAATAGTCATAGAGAATTACCCATCATTAGCCCTCTAGATATCTGATTCACCACAGTCCTACTTCAAACAGACTTCCTGCCATTATGAGACTCTTTAGAGCTCTTTTCTCATTTCATAAAACAGTATAAAAATACCTAAGCATACCCCATACAATCAGGTAGCACTCAGCTGCTTGAGTACTTCACAGAAAAGGCTGGGAGCAAGTACAGACATCCCAGCAGTGACCTCCATCCTGAATAACCCCTCCAAAGAACACACATGACATTCTTTCTTTGGGGCAGCAGGTGCCCAAAGTAATGCCCCAGCACAGCTTGTGCACAGAATCAAGATCCATAGTTTGCTTCATCAAAGGCCTTTCTGGCTCGTTTCAGTTCTTCATTCATAGTTAGGAGGTCTTTAACTCTGGCAAACTTCCGGGGGTCCTTGCGTATTAGAAAGACAATGTCCTCAACCTGTACACGTCCCTGCCGCCCAATTGACATGGCCTTGTGTGTCTGTTAGAGGAAAAGAGGAAAGTCAGCAGGGCTCCTTTGCCCCTAATTTTTTTTTTTTTTTTTTTTAAGCTCTCAATTTCACTTTATTTCCTGTCATTTTACAATCAAAAAGTAAGCAACTGCATGACCTGGGCACCATCATCATAGTCACAAGAGAACTTCCCAGTAAGCCATGGACTTACTGTCGCTCTGCTGTCTCCAGCTGCCTGTCACTTACATCTACCACGTACCACTACATACACGTAACAGTAACGGCATCAAAACTGAAGTCAGATTACATGCAAGACACCCAACCTGCAGAGTGCTTGAAGACGAGCAGCATCAGGCAGAACTTGGAAGCAATGTGAGGTAACCGTATCTACAGTTTAGGGCACTTTGATGAGGGAAGACAAGGCCAACCCTTCAAAAGAAAGGGGTTCCACAAATAGCAGGAATAACTTTTTTCAAAAAACAAAACAAACTTTCAAGCAGTATTCAAATATCTGGAAGAGTGATGGCTTCGGGCCCCACAAGCTTGCATTTCTTTTGTAGTGCAGAGCCCATCCATGTAAAGTCACTGGGAGAACACAAAAAGTCAACAGACTTTCAAAGCTGAGCCTTGTCTTTTGTCAGCTTCACATATAGTGATGCCACTGCAAAGCCCAAAGTCAGCCATGTACCCCTTACAATCCCAATTTAACTTCTACTTAAGGACTTCAGACACTGTTATAAATCCACATGGAGCAAGATGCATGAATTTTGCCTTTATCTTGGAAGAGCAAAGCCTAAGTTCAGCTTTTTCCTACTAGTATCAGTTTTGGGCCTGGGATAACGCAGTATTTGAGTCAGAGGTATTAACCTTCAGAACACTAAAATCTCAGTGAGGATGTTTCGACCATGCTGCCTAGAGCTGACTTACCATTTCTGTGATAAACTCTATTACCAGGTCCTCAAGAATGTCCACTGATTCTGTGTAAGGGTTCTGGTCATCCCCGAATCCATACATCATGCACCTTACTGCAGAAAGAAACACTCGGCGTGAGGCTTCTCCCATCCATTCAGCACTGTCAGCAACCCGCATCTAGTCAGAGCTCTCCAGCCTACACGTTTGCACGCCAGGATGGCACTTCTGTCTGTCGGGCAGGGCGATCCTTCAGCAAACATACGGGAGGTAGACAGAAGCCAACAAAAGCCTAGTGCTGCATATACAGAAATGCATCTCTGATGACAGACTCTTTAAATATGCATTGAGCCTACCAAGTACCGAACAAGGACCGACAGCGCGACTGACTTTTGGCACAGCTAGGTTCAGAGGATGCGTCATCGATATTTTGGGGAGGGGTCTACACGACATCTTTCTCTGCTTTCAGCCAGGGCACAGAACGAAAGCCGCTGTTTTGCTAAGGAAAACTGAGTTTTGGAAACTCCACAGCTGCCTCCTCAGAGTTTCAGCTGTGCCTGGGGGTAAGGGCATGATCCCTAAAAACCGCAGGGAGCCCTGCGGCAAGCGACCGGCCAGCGCCGGGCAGGGCTTTCTGACCCGGCTCGACTCACGTTCTTTGGAGAACAGCCTCTTCCTCTTGCCTTGCCCGCCATCCAAGCCCCCGCCGGCTTCTTCCGCGTCTTCTTCAAACTAGACGGGCACAGCGGAGGAGAGGCCGCCGTCAGCGCCCGGGGCGGCGGGTGACCCCCAACCCCTTCCCCTCCCGCCCCAGCCGCGGGGCGAGGCGAGGCCCCCGGCCGCCCCTCCGCGGCACACGCCGGCTGCGGGGAAAGACCCGGAGCGTCCCGCCTCACCTGCCCGACCCGCCGCCGCCGCCGCCGCCGCCGCCACTCACCGGCGCGTCCTCCTCCTCGTCAGCCATGGCCGCCGCACACCGCCCGGCCCGCCTGCCAGCGGCGCCGCTTCCGCTTCCTCAGCCCCGCGCCCCCGCGGCGGCCGCCATGTTGCGGCGGGGCTCCCCGGGCGCGGCCCTCGCCCGCCTCGGGACAGGCCCGTCGCCGCGGGGCGGGGACGCGCCGGCTGCCCTGAGGTAACCGGGCGCTCCGCCGGGCGGGGGGGAGCTGATTTTCCCCGTGTAGACTAAACCCCGGCTCTCCTTGCCCGAGAAATGGTTTGAGGGACGGAAGGAGAGGCGGGGTAGGACTGGAGAGTTCCCAGCTCCCCGCTTGGGCGGCTGCTGCTTCGCTTCCTCCCCCTCCTCAGCAAAAAAGTTGTAATTCTCCCAGACTGTTATAAATTGAGACCACAATGGATCATAATCCAATTATAATTTTATTAATTATAGCAAGTAGAATATGAGCAAAGACAGCGCTGGACAGCAGGGGAGTCTGCGCTCCGCCAACTGCCGTACTGATCAGTTCAAACAGTTCCTTTTTATACATTCTTACATTCGTGGTTGTCTTTGATCAGTACCCCTTCTGCTTGCACAAGTATCTGGTTTGTGTAAGCAATTGCGGTTATCTTGTCTCACGCGGTCATCTTGTCTCACAGGTTATCTTGTCTCACACAAGCGGTGTCTGGCAGCTATTTGCATAAGCAGTTTTTCTGTCTTTTGCCGCCTAACCTTTACATTGAGCTTAACATAAATTTCAATAAACAATACCCTTAGTTCATAGTTTCTTACAAGACTGAAGCTATGGCACAAAGGGATTACTCCCGAGATAGATTTGGTGCCCCTCCCCGCATCTGTATATTACACTCATCGTTATTAGATGATGAGACCAGGAAAATTTGGTTTGAAAGGGGATCGGGGTTGCGTCTAGTTCAATCCTCTGCTTAAAAGAGCGGACTTTTGCCAGTCAGGCCCTGGCCTGTGTGGTTGCCAGGGGCTCTTCCTTCCCTGAGCACCACTCGCGCTTGCCCTGGTTGAATTTCATGACGGTGCTGTCAGCCCCTTCCTCCAGCTCTCCCGTGGCCGCCCTGCCCACCAGCGTGACCCCCCCAGTATGGTGCCAGGTGTGCATTTAGCGGGAATACACCTCCCTCCCCTCCTCCAGGTCACTCATAAAAATGTTAAACCGGACACATGCCAGGATAGACCCTTACAGTATTCCACTTGCAACCACCACGCAGGTAGAGTACGACCCACCAACTACTACCCCCCGAGCCAAATTATCCAACCAGTTTTTACTGATCTAGTTGTGCAGCTGCCCAGACTGTAATGTCCTAATCTGGATACGAGAATAATGCAGGGGATAGTGTGAGAAGGCTTGCTAAATTTGGTGTATATGACATCTGATATTCTCCCCAAATACAAGACTCTAGTCATTCTATCATGGAAGACAGGTGGGTTGGTCAGGTAAATTCATACCGATTCCAAATCCTTTTTGACAGAGTTCCTTGCCCTGTCAGGAAAAGGCTTTGTGGAAGTAAATGTCCTTGTAAGCTGTATGAATTCTCAATACTTAGGACTTTACTAGCTCTTAGACCATTAGAAAAAAGTGAAAGTAAACTTGGTTTTTTATTTCCTTTCCTGATGGCATTGGTACATGCTCTTACAACATGTTATGGTCTTAAATACAGGCTAAGTATAAGTAGAAATGGAGAAGAGGACAGCTTGTTTCATTACTTGCATGTGGAACTGGTTTGGCCTAGCTAAGATGAAAGACTGGGCTTTACTCTTGTCTCTGCCTTTAGCATGATTTTGGGTAAGTTCATCCTTCCTGCTTTATATGCATCCATATAAACATACATCAATGCTTTGTAGGTGGTTCGAATTTGAGCACTGTGAATGAAGAGCATTTGCTTTCTAACATGGTGAATTATTTTAGATCAATAAACTTGAGATTATGCTTTTAATAATAAATAACATACAGGAAGGGGAATGAACTTAAGTCCTCTTTTTTCAGTGAAGTAACTGATGGCCCTGAGAGCTGAAGAATGCTAAAGGAAAAGAGCTGGTGCGTGAAACCACTGGCAGTTGTAAAGCGATGTAATTAGATGCTATTGCTGTTACTGACAGTGGAGGTGGAAATACAAAGAAAATGTGCTGTTCATGAGCTCTGGAATTAAGGAAATGGGAATGGATGTGCAGCCTTTTCAGTTAAGTTTCACCTTTTCCCAGCTCTCAGTACTTCACAGATCAAAGCACAATTGACTATGACCAAGCAGCTTGGAAACTGAAGGTAATCCCCACAAGCACGGCAGTTTCCCATGGCCACAACTTTGAAACTGAATTTTATTCAGAGGATGGAGTTCACTCTTTCATCAAAAGCAGGACTTAAATCAAGGCGAGTGTGTTGTGCTAACTTCTGTGTATGCTGCTTACTTCCTGCTGTAACTGAGCGTTCAGCGTAGGAGTCTGCTTTGGTACCCAGAAGTTCTCACTATGGCAGTCCCCCACTGTCAGGGTGTCCAAGCACAGCTCAGAATGACTTCCCCTAAGCCAAAGAACAAGCTGTGACTCAAATCCTCTTTTTATATAACAACACTTGACTTCTGTTAACAATTTTTAGGGGGGGTGAGATATGTTTCTTACTGTTAGCATAAACTAGGTCAAAAATGTCAGAGGAGGTTCACACAAATGAAATGACACAGATCAGCTGCTTAAGTAATGCACTTTTCAGCTAGGTTATAAAAGAAGGGCCTGTGCACCATATCATTTAATTTGTATTTGTGTTTAAGTTCCCACCTGGACCTGCAAGAACTGTGCTTCTTTGTAATTCAACACCTAAGGCTTGGACAAGATTTATCCTCATCAGTCTGGACACCTGTTAGTTTCTTAATGTCTTAAAGAAACATTAATATTTAAATGTTTTATACTAAAAAAAAAAAAGATTTATTTTTATTGCATTATTTTTACGTTGCTTACTGTACTCTTGATATTGTTGGTGAAGTTTTTAGAACTACTCCTTTAGAGTACTAGGTTTAGAACAAATGTCTTAGTTATGCCCTGGAAGTCACATTGGGGAGCTACCAGGGTGGGAATAAAGTAAGTATTTTTTCTATTAGAATGGTCTTTAAAAATTGTCTAAAACTATTCCTTTATCCCAAATGTTGTAAATACTTTGGCCACCTGACCCCTGCCTGCCACTGGCTAAAGCTGTTGGCTGTACCTTCTGATAGCGTGCAAAATGGTCATTATGTTTGGCTTGTTTAGATCCACCTGCCAGCTCTTCCCCAAGGTTTGCAAGGGAACGGTATTGTTCCTTGGTTTATTTTTTTCTACCATTAGTTCCTAGAATTTCTGAAATGTCTCTTGTAATTGGGGGCTGAGTACCTGGTTTCCCATACCTATTTCTTTGGAAGAAAAAGAATCTCTAAATATCAACGCAATGTTTTTTATCATATTTGAGCACAAAGGCAGTTGTGGTTCTGCAGTCCTACTGAACATACGTGGGCCTCGACCTGAGTGCGTTTGCTTTACCCTGTTAAATAATACTTCTGAATTGTACAATTGCTTACACCCTTCGTAAATTGTTGTGACCAGTTAAGCTAGTTTTTCTGAGGCTTGAGAAAAAGGAGTTTCTTGTGCATTTGTCAGGTTTTGGTTTAAGAAAAATCTTTGTCTTGAAGAAATTCTTCCTTATAAAGAAAAATCCATTATGTCTCCAGTAGGAGGTTCACTCTTCTAGTGTGATAAATGCCTTGCTAAGTTTGAACAAAGGTTTTTCTCTAGGAGGCTGAAGAGGAAGAAGGAAAAGGTGCAGATGCTGGAGAAACGAAAACATGCTGGAGTCAGAGAGAGTCTTGATGAAGCACTGAAGGGATCTCAAGGAATGAATTCGGAAGAAGTGAGTAGAGCACCTCTTGGTGTCTAAACAGCCTTCCCTGGCGGAGCTTGGGGCTGGTGCCATCCCCAGACACCACGTTCTGTGCTTGCATCAGGCACGAGGGCAACAGTCCAGCGGTGCTGTATTCATCACACAAGAACCAGCGGAGAATAACTTCTTGGGGAACAGCATCAGCAAGAGCAGCACTAAGATTTTTTCCCTGCCCCCCACCCCCTTACTACTTATTGGCTTAATATGTTCTCCCTCATTCTCAGTTTTTCAAAGAAAATACTGGTTGAAGTAGCTATGTCTGTGCAAGTGGTGGATTTATTGTCTTGTATAAACTTTGTAAATGTGCCACAAGGTGCACAAATGCCACTGCAGATTATTAGAATACAAAAATGTGAACTACCTTCCCTGAAAAAATCTACTGTGTATTTAACTAAAGAGTTGATGGCTGCTCAATAATTACCTTATTGAGCAAAACAGTTTTCTGTGCTTATGTAAGAGATACTTAAAAGTAGACTAGCTGTATCTGAAGTAGTTGGAGATCAAGTGTTTAACAAGTGCTTGGATAGTGTTAAATTAGTGTTAAAATAAATCTGTGCATACAGGCTTAATGCTGTGGCTAGTTCTTAGGAGCAGATCAAACTGCAGTTACCAAACCCAGTATTAAAATCACTTGTACAGGTAAGGAGGGGATGCCTACTTTACTTTTAGGTACCGATTGGCTGTAAATGCATCAGATGAGAATAAAAGGGAGTTACAGGACTGGTTATAGCATATTGTGCAGAGGCTGGCTTCTCATATGGAGAGCTGTAGAAGGAAGTCACACCTCTCAATTTATTAGTCATTTTTATTTTGGGATGTAATGTAAGATCAGTTTCTCTTTTCTTAGTTCTGTTCCTTTCCTCATTGCATGTCCAGTTTGTAGCATGGGACAAACCCCATGACTTACTTCCATCTCCTTTGCCTCTTCTGTAAATGGGTTCTGCTCTTGCTCTGTTTCCAACACACTCATGCAGGAGAGCATTGTAAGCAGCTGCACGTTTGCCCCAGCTTGCACAGAAAAAGCTAGAGTTTCTCAGTAAAATACAGTATCATGTTATAGCTGGGATAGGCAGGTACCAAAGTAATCTCAAGTATGAGCAGGATTAGCCGGTGCTACAGACATTACCTGCTGGTAAAATTCAGTTTCCTCTCTTGCCAGAAACTTTTGATAGTTGAGGTAGCAGTATCTTGCTTCTCATGCGCACCCACCCCACTTAATGCAAAATGAACTGTCTGTATTCAACACCTAGCAGCTTCCGTTTGGCATCCGACATTTGTTTCATACTGTACCCAAGAGCTACTACTACATCCTAGTTCTGAGCACAGTATGAAAACATTGCTGAGCCGAAGGAGCAAGACTTCTGACAAGAGTGAAAGGCGGCAACATTGAGTAAATCTTCAAAGTGACAGTAAACAGAGCTCTTTCTGCCTTAGCACATGTTGCCTCTCTGTGTAACTGCCTCGGGCTGTATCTGAAATGTCTACCTGCCAAACAAGAAACCCGCTGCTTTTTAAAATAATTCCAAAAAGCTGTGTAGGTTACTTCATTAATATTAAATAGAATTAGCGATGTAGTATCTGGTCAAGGTGCCATATAGCATTCTATGCTATAGTGACTCTAGGGGACTGTTGCAAAAATACTGGCTTTGTAGCACCAGGGTTATGGTGACAGACTAGACCAGACGCAGCAGAGGAAGAGAACGGAGAAAAAGTACTGCTGAAAGGCCAGAGAAGATGCACAAGGCGAAATAATTTTTCACAGAAGCTAGTACTCAACATAATTTCTGTAAGTAACAGGTACAGAAGTGGCAAAGCTTTACAAGGTAATGCTGGGTGCCTGCAGTGTGGTGTGTGCACTGCAAACAATTTAAGATGACAAAAGCATTTAAAACTGAAATGATCTGTAATGTTTCAGTACACTGCCAGGACCACCATCGATCAATGAGTGGGGGAAAAAAAGGGAGAGCTGCTGTGTCCCTGGCCTCAGAAAGTATAGTTCTTCACCCCACAACACAGCACATTAAGAATTTGGCAAGAAAAGTCTGCTAGTGTGTGCGACACCCGTTTACCCAAAGCATGTTCCCATGAAGGCACTTAAATGTAAGTTTTAATGTTTAAGTGGAGAGGACTTGATTTTATTTACTATCTTATCTGTCACAGGGGTGCCAGTTCTTGAGTGTAACAAACTGTGGTGTTCCCTCCTGCAGATGGCTGAGCAAAATGCAAGAGTTATTCCAGTATTTGAAGCACTTGTGAATGACGATCTTTTGGCCAACACAGCAGAAGACTGAGATGTGTCCAGAGGCAAAGCTGGTTCTTCAGGGCAAGGTTGTTGCTAGTGCAGTTGTAAGGAAACATATGACCTAGCTCCACAAGGCTTCCACTAAGGACACCTCAAGGCAACTGTACACACACACAAGGATCATGGGGTCCAAGTCACAGTCTGCTGCCATTTCAAAGCTCTTTTTACACAAATGGAGTTACCAGACATACTTAATGTATGTAAGTGGTTAATAAAAGACTTCCTAGCGCTATAAGGGGGTTTGTTCTGAAGAAGGACTAAAAAAAGAACTGCATTGTTTTTTACATATACAGGCTTACTTTCAGAGGCTCTTCAGTCAAGTCTGAGGTCTTGAAAATGACAGCCTTGGCAAGATTGATGCTTTTGGAAGATCCTGGTTTTAAAATAGTAAGAAAAGACTATTCCTGAAGTGTTCACCTGCACCTGTTCCAGCTGTCTAGATACTACTGCACTTCCTCCCAGGATCAAGCATCCCACAGGCTGGTTTGCTCTGGAGCATTGTGGGATTAGAGATAAAACATTAAGAGAATGATAGGTTTGATTGCTGCTACAATGTGCAAGCTAGAGATCTGTATCTTTCCACTGCATTCCTCACACCCCCAGCTTCTTACATGCATGCTGGAAACAGACCTCACCTCATGTCTAGTCTGAGAGTTACAAGAAATTCCGTAATGAAAGAAAACACTGGGAGTATCACCTTCTCACCTTCAGAGTGGCTGACAAAAGAACTGCCCTTTCTGAGGTTTAAATGTTTAATGTAAGTAACTTTCACAGCTGCATGCCCACATTTGGCAGTGTTAAGACATGACAAGACTGAGTGCCAGAGTTTGACCTAGGCATTTAATAGCTTTGGCCTATGTTCTGCACAACTACTGCTGTTGATGGCCGAATTTTTGTCCCATTCTGTACCTTGTCACTGGGCAGCTTCAGGTGCTCTTAGCCAGACACAGCAGCTGCAGGACACAGTTCTGCGAGCTGCTATGGTGCCCATAAAGAGCACGGGGCATCAATATTGTGCTTCAGCTGCCCGCGTGGAACAGATGCAGGTAATGGACAATGTGTCTCATCCCTGGCAATTCATCCGAGTGCAGCTACAGGACTTTATGCTGGGCTTAAAACAGAAGGTAGGTGCAGCACTGACTGATGATAAAGTGCAGAAGGAAAGAGTTCCTCTAGATGTCAGTCTTTTATTCCACTCTGTTTCAAGCCAACAGTGATCAAAAAGTTGAAGATGTGTCCTTTCCTTCACCCACCTGGAATGGGGACAACTCGATGTATGTAAGCGAGGCGTGCTACCATGCTGCACCTATTGAACACATGATGCAGAGGAGTTACAAAAGTAAAACGTACAAGGAGTTCTAAACACACCTACACAGACAACATGTTGGCTGTTTCCACTCTAGATCACCTTAGAACAGGCAAGCTGCACAGGTGCTAGTTTTTGGCCCCTACTATATCAGCTGAAAGAAGTAAAGCTGTGTATTATTAAATTCAACTGGGCAAGTACAGTTTGATCAATGGTGTTTGTTTTTTTTTTTTTTTCCTAAACTAAATGCCTTTTTATTAACGAGATTAGGAGACCATCTCTAGTAACCTAAATATAGCAGAGCTTAGGCATGCAGTGGTAGCTTTTTAAACATTTAGCTGGAGGAAGAGGAAATGCTGTATTACAACTTAGCTTCTCTTTGGAGGTTCTCTTTGCTTTTTTTATCCTTAGCACAATCATGTAGGTTTTATAAAACAGTTTTGTAATAACCTGGATTCATTCCCAGGGCAAAAGTCCTGAACCGATGAATTTATCAAACAAAAAGATTAGCCTTACAAATATTTATCCAAAAATTTATCCAAATTTATCCCAAAATAAATTCTAGTACCTTGGGTTATTTACAACAAAAATCCAGACCTCTAGTTTTGGTACCTTTTGTTCTGGATGAGCTGAGTAGATCAGGCGCCAGTGTTTTCAGCTGGCCTCTAGACCAGGCAGGTTTCCAGTAACGTGGGCTACAAAGCACCTTAGCAAGTGAACCCCCGAAAACTTCAGAGAACTGTGGAAACAAATGTTCAGTGCCAGATGCTGCTGTGTCTTGGAGTAAGAACAAGCAAACTCAGCCACTGGCCGTGTTAAAAGTTAAACCTCCCGCAGTGCAGTGCCACCTTGGTAAATTAAACACTTCAGCTACCTAATCTATTACTGCTTGCTACTGTTAACTTTAAGTAGAGTGGGAAAGCCCCCTTGCATGCAGCATAGGGACTGCTGCCCCCTTCGGAGAAAGGCCAAAGGATGAAGCAGCCTTGAAAACTGAACGGCACTTGCAGGGGAGGGGGAAGGAGGAAAGGGGCCTTTCCCCATCAGCAGCTCACCCTCCTCCATCCCTGGGGCAGAGAAGTGCCACCTCCAGAGCACACAGACCCGCTTCAGGCGTATGCCCTACTGAAATCATCACCTGAAAGGAAATGGCAGCAATGGAGAAGAGCTTTACCTGACCAGGAACAGCTGAGCAAAGCATCCCTGAGTTTTCTCCTTTACAAACTCCTGGATCTCCAGTACGTTCTTTAACAACAGTCCCCTGGAAGCTCGGTCAATTTTTGTTAACACCATCTGCAAGGATCCAGAAAGGGAGGATTAAGAGAGGAAAAGATTATTTTGCTGCTAGCCTAGAACACCTTTAAGAGGCCTGGACCATCTTGCAAGGCAGACTGAAAGCTCTGGGTCATATATAGGGAAAAAAATGGTGTAACACAGTTCACCAAAACACTTCTATAGCCTGCATAAAGAGCGGATCTTTTCAAGCTCCTCAGCTGAGCAGACTTTAAAAAAGTGTCAATTCAGTAAGTCAAGCAAAAAAATACCTTAAATCCCAGTTGCCCTCTCCCCCCACTTTTAGGCCTAATTTATTAACAGGAAAGGGTAGGGGTTACTACTCATGTAGGACAACTTGCATAAACTCAAGTAGAGGGTACACACCTTCATAGGTTATCTGTAGCTTACAACTAACACAAGAACAAAGCTTTACCTACCACATAAGGAATCCCAAACTCTTCCAGCATCTCTACTGCAATATGATCTGCTTTCTGGAGTCCTACTACACCATCAACTAACAGAAAAGTCCTCTTCAAGCTGCCAGAAACACAAGCAACAGTAATCACCACCATTATCTCATGCCTGCTCTGCTACTTCCGAAGTCACGAAGAAGTAACACGGGATGTGGGGATAGGAAGAGCCAAGAGCAGCCGTGCCCAGGAGCTGAGGGCCAGCACGGAGCAGCACCTCAACTTTTTCTGCTGTTTTGGTCTGTCTGAGCACGAATGAGTGACACCACAGAGGTTCCCAGGGAAACAACTTCAGAACTAATCAATACTACCAGTGGAAGTAGCTACCTCTACTCCTTTTTTTTCACCTAATTACACGACACTGTGTATAGGTGTCTGGCTTCCATTGCACTGCGGAGGTACAGCTGAGCCCCTTACTTGGGCCGTTCCTGCAGATAGACCTCCACCATCTCCACAAAGTCTGGCGGGGCACGGTAGCCGTATCCTGGCATATCCACCAGCATAAAGTGCTTTCCTACTTTGAAGAAATTCATCTTCTTGGTGTGGCCCTGAGGAGAGCATTTAAAAAAAAAAAGTAAAATGGAGGGGTGTTAAAAAGTTGCTTTCAATAGCGGACTAGGAGACGTCCCACAAAATGTCTCTGTACCCCTCCCAGAGAAGGCTGCAAAAATGTTACTATTGCTTTGAGCTGCCCTACCCTTGCAGCAATCCTGCGTGGCTCTGTCCTTAAAATAAATTAAAAACACCTTTATGGGTCCCTCTGCTTGGTCCTTCCCACGGGGCTTTCCATCACGCCTGCTCGCCGCCTCTGCCCGGCACACGTGCCGTGCTGGGCCTGGCTGAGGGGCTCGGCTGGGCTCTGCACCCCTCTTCTGTGGCAGCAGCACGCTCCCTTGCTGCTTTGAGTCACCCCAAAGCCCCTTGGCTGCTGCCCTTCCCAGCCCTGTCCCCTGGGTCGGCACCAGCTCCCCACCCGCTCAGGCGTTTGGGGGGGGAAGTTAAAATCGCCGCTTACCGGAGTTTTTGACACCCTGACCTCCACTTCTGGCGACAGGGAGAACAAGGCCCGGATTAAAGACGATTTCCCCACGTTGCTTCGGCCGATGAAGCACACCTGCAGCGGGGGGAGAGGCGGGGGGGCATTTCCAAACCCGTCCCGCTTCCGAGGCGTGGCGGGGCGGGGGGACACACACCACCCCCTCAGGTGCCGCGGCCGCTCCCGCCCGCGTGTCAGCCCCGGGGTGCCAAGGCCCGGGGGCACCCTGACCGGGGGGGGGGGGCACCCTGACCGGGGGGGGGGGGGGCACCCTGACCGGGGGGGGGGGGGGGCACCCTGACCGGGGGGGGGGGGGGGCACCCTGACCGGGGGGGGGGGGGGGCACCCTGACCGGGGGGGGGGGGGCACCCTGACCGGGGGGGGGGGGGGCACCCTGACCGGGGGGGGGGGGGGGGGGCACCCTGACCGGGGGGGGGGGGGGGGGGCACCCTGACCGGGGGGGGGGGGGGGGGCACCCTGACCGGGGGGGGGGGGGGGCACCCTGACCGGGGGGGGGGGCACCCTGACCGAGGGGGGGGGGGGGGGGGGGCACCCTGACCTCGGGCAGGGTGGACGGCGGGGCGTGGTCCATGCGGACGGCGGAGCTGACGTAGTCGATGAGGTGATCGCGGTCGGCCCGGAAGAACGCCTCGGCGCGCTGCAGGGCGGGCAGCCCGGGCTGGAAGAGGCGAAAGGGCGCCGTGTCCGCGCCGGGAGCCAAGCACCGCTCCAGCTTCCGCAGCGGGAACACGAGGTCCGTGCGGCGGCTCCGCTCCAGCCGCAGCACCTGAGCCAGGGCGGCCAAGGCCGGCGGCGACCGGCCCGCCGCGCCGCCCAGCGCCGGCAGCAGCATGGCGGCGCGGGACCCTCACCGGCACCGGAAGGCGCGTCACGGGGCGGGGCCGCCCGCCCTTCCGTGTCCCCCCCCGGCGGGGCCGGCGCGGCCGCCGCTCCCCGCAGCCTCCGGCGATTCGCTTTTTAAGTCTTGATCCCGTCGCCGTTCGCCGCGCCCGCGCTCGGCCCTTACACCCAGGCAGGGCCCGGGGCGGCGGCGCCTTTCCCCGGAGGCGGGCGCCCGCTTGTCCTCTGCGGTCCCGGCCCGCCAAGCGCGGGAGGTTTCGTTCCTCCCGTCACTAGAGCGAAGGCCAGGAGGGACCGGTGGAAGGTAGCAGGGGCTGCATCCCGCCCGCCTGCTGCTGAGCCCGGCTACGAAGCTGGAGGGAGGAAGCTCCTCTCCCCGGAGAAGAGGCCAGGCGGCAACCTACGCGTGCCTCGGAGCTTGCCGAGACATTCAGGCTACCAAACGGAGCTCTGAGGGCACTTCGGTACGCCACATCGTTAACCGGGTCTATTGGCAAGGCGCCGGCCTTTGTACAATCCATATCTGTGCTAAAAGAGTGCAGTGCCGTGGAAAAAAAAAAAAAAAAAAAAGGGCTCAAACAACATAATTCCTCCTACAAATTTCCAAGCAAAGTACCAGGTTGTGCGAGAACCTAGCGTTGAATGGATGAGATCCCACAACATGCCTGTTTTGTTTGTAACAATCTAGAAATGTAATCTTACTGCCTCATCAGTTAGAGACTGCCCTTTTTAGCGTGCTGCAGGTTCCGTGGGCACGACATCCAAAGGCTGTCGAGCGACACAGTTCAGGGGTGCTGAAGGCACACGTAGCCTGCGGTCCCGAGTTTTACATCGTAAGGGCTGGTGGACACGGTCTCGTCCTGTCCCTTGCAGGTCTACCAACACATTTGCTCAGATTACAGTATTCTTTAATGGTCTGGCCCGAAACCATTCCTGATGCAAGCAAAGTGTTTAGTTGATGATTTATAAATCCAGTAATAGCTTCAGCAAATGCATTCCTCTTCACTCCCAAAAGGAAATGCCCCAGTTTACGAATTACAAATGCTCTACCTAAAAGTTAACCCCAACTTACTACATCAGTACTAGAAAGCCACAGTGAACATCTCTGAAAGTAAAAGTTTTGAACACCACACAGCCAATCATTCAGGAAAAAAAAAAAAAAAAAAAAATGAACTTTTCAGGGTGAGTGTTGTTGCCTGGTTTGACCGGGAGATGGAGCGGAAAGCACTGCCTAGAGCCTGGGTCCGGGCAAACGCCCCCCCGGATGGATTGCACAGCATCAGCAGCAAAACAGTCTGCAAAACTGTGCTCTGCCCGGGGCTGAGGCACTCGTAACCAGTGAGCAACTACATAGCAGCATGCTCTGAAGCACCCGGAGCAGGGGCTAAACCAGCATTTGGTACATCAGTAACTGGGAGCGAGGAGGGGGAGGCTAAGTCCCTCTGCTAGAGGCATGATGTACACATAGAGCCCTTTACCAGGACTCTTGCAGGATGGCTGAAAAAAGTACAGTAGCAAGCAAGAAACAACACAAAGGAAACAGGATATCGTGTTGTCGCTCATGGTAGTCTATGACTTCAAGTAAAACCAGGTGTCAAAACACAAGAAGTCTTCTGAGCTGAGGACAATCTAACACAGAATAACAATTAAAACCAGCTCTAGGGCTGTGCTGGAGGTGGATGGAGAACAACGAGGTCCAACAGCTCAGTTGCTTGGATCAGCTGCCTGGGGCACAAGGCTGATGCTCTTGCCACAGCATTACCCTCCTGTCTGGCTCCAGCTCTAACCTCAGACCAAAAGTTTGGACTTCCAAAAATAAAAAACACCCATCAACCTCCCCCCTTGCCAAATCGCCCATATACAACCTTCCCACTCTTGACAGCTGCGCAATAAGTTGCTGTGCTGTGGTCAGGCTGTAATCCAAAGACTCAAAAACTAAAAGGCTGATTAAAGAAATACAAACATGATTTTCCAGCCATCACCTTCACTATCAGAGAGCAAGCAGAACCTTCAGCAAAAAAAACCCAAACCCAAAAACATTAGGTCTCACTCCAAAGATGACTGGACTAGGTTGAATCACATGCTGTAGGGAATTCTCCCTTTCCATTTATCAGGAGTTTTTCTGTCTTAGTTTCTAAAATGATTCTTCCAGCTGCCTGGATGCATTGCTCCCAATTAAGCCCCAAGTGATTAGGACCCTGAAAGCTTCTGATTTTCATGACTTGGACCATTATTTCTTGCTGCCTCTGCCATTTAGTTCTGAGCTATGTCACCCATTGGTTGACATTCTGTGACTGAAATGATGGTGTGTCTTGTGCCACCAGGATCTGGATGTGATCTTTGCACCTTCAGCCTGCCTCTAAACATGAGAAATGGTTGTTGCACTTAACTGCCAAACCACACAGCACTGAAGCAGGAGCTACACTGACCAAGGTGCAAGAAATGGTCTGGAATGGTTTGACAATGTGACTTTTGGAAAGTATAACTGCAGCAACAACAGCCAGCAGAGATGAATATTTCATTATATTGCTGCTGTTTGTGTTTCTGAATCTAAGAAGTGTGAACACAGGTTACCCAACTTTCTCTTTGAACTTACTCAACTTTTCCTTTGAGTCACTAATGGGTGCTATGCCTCTTCTCAGTTAAATGGCACCCACTATTTGGGGGAAGGGGGGGAGGGTCGAGAGGCAAGGTTGCCTGCCTGCTAGGGATTCTCTCCATTCGTGGATGTCTTGCACGTGTTTGACTACAAACCTGAAGCCCTTCCAGGCACATTTCAGCACAGCCATGGAAATACATAAATCCGCTGTGACAATAACTGTGGGGGGAGAGTTCTGTTCTTAGAACAGGCAAAGAGTCATCAACTCATTTCAGCTTGGTGGGTTCAAAGTTTGGGGAGGCTAACATTTTTCTGATAAATTCAGTGCATTCATTTCCAGGGAGTTTCATCTTATATCTAGGGAAGCTGTCTTTGCTGGTGCAAGACAGCAGTCCTAATCACATGGGAAGACGGTCAGTAGTAGCTTGGGGAAAGGTCTTTAAGTACCTTGTAAAAATTAAGGGACTCTTCTGGCTCTAAACAAAATCCCGCAGCTCACCACTGGAACAACCTTCAGTGTTCACTTGTGTATGAATGGGTGGGATATAGTACCAGAACAGTTTGAAAACCAAACAAAACAATGGTGCAAAAAAAGCAACCTCAGACTAGTTGTCTATAGATGTACTTTTATCAGAGGAATAGAGCAGTAACATAACTGCACGATGCACCTACCAACCTTCCCTCCCTTCAGGGCACAAGTAATTGCCAGTGCCTGTTAGAGGTCTTAGGCTGTTAGGTATGTGGGGAAGGATAGAGTGGGGAGGAAGAGGAATTTGTTTTAAGAGATTTTTTGGAATATGTTGAGGATCCTTTAAGCAGTAAGCTAAGAATATCCTCCTCCCAATTCCCAGTGATAAAATTCTCACTGTGAGATCAGAGCCAGATGTGAAAAATCACACTGCTTAGACTTTGTGCAAGTTCTGCTATAGAGTTTGGTTTCCCACAGTAACAATACACAGAAGGCCAATGGTCAGAAAGCAAATACCAATACCATATCCTCTCTGTTCACCAACTCTCAGCATAGGAAGCTAGCTTTGTGCTAGGAAGAAGCACAACCACCTCTTTGTAGCTGTGCTGTGGGGCTCTCAGGAGGACTGGAAGAGCAGAGACTGCCTGCTGAAGATCGCTGGCAGGGGATGATGGGGAGCTCACAGCAAGCTGGATGGTACAAGAAACCCCCACATCACCCACAAATGCAAGAGCTACTTTGGAAGTTGTCAGGAAGACCATGGACTCCATTGTTCTGCTCACCGTTGCTGCACTCACAGGAACTACAGGTACTTCTGATGGTACTTTGGTATCACCTCTCTGTTAAGGGCAGAGGAGGAAAAGACAATTTATCAGAGTGATACTTACTCAATTCTTCTTTGAGAAAGACAGACTCTAGGGGAAGAGATCTTTACAAAGTGCTGAAGAGACTTTTTGATGGAAAACCGATAACCTGCAAATCAAAACATTTCTAGCTGCAACTAGAACTTTTCAGTTGTCAACCAATAAGATGCTGAAATTGGGTTTTTCAATGATTTGGTGAAAACTGATAATAATTTTCTTGGAGTATGATATTTTTTCATGATAATTAACAGATTTATGAAAAACATGTTCAGTGGGAGGTTTTCTTATCAGTCTGAGTACCCTGTCAGGATTTACTCCTAGGTATCAGTGATTTGTTCTGAAAAATTAAGTACACTGGGAATTTATAACACTAGATTCAGATGAAAGTTTTAATAAGAGTTAATGGGAAGGTTCTTTCCCTTTTCCAAATTCAGTTAAATACTTAGAAAAGCTAATTCCAGAAATGTGGCATCTGAAAATTCAGCTATAACCCTTCTCCTCCCTACCCTACATTAATTATTGTTTATTTTTCCTGTTTGTTTTTGTTAGAACAGGTAAGGCAAGTAATAAGGCAGTGACCTTGAGTCTATCAGGGATCTCTGCATCTGACAGCAAACAGGAATCTCTTTTCTTTCCAGTTAAATGTCATACTCATCTACTATTTCATCTGTCACCACTGTAATCAATGAAATTAGTTCATATAATCTTTGGAGTGGCAAGGCAGAAATTGCCACCTGTACTTGACCTGATTAGGAGGGCTGCTTATATCTGGCACAAAAGTGGGGTGAATGTTAATTTTTCTGCTGTACTAGGCAGTAATGCTGAGGGAAAAGCAACCTGAGAGATCACCCCATACAGAAAGACTCTGCAGCTCATTCAGAATCTGCTTCCCAGTCATATTATTTATCCACTGTCCTAGGGAGGGGACCTTACAAAGGGAGGGAGTGAAAACAAGGACCAATGTATGTCAACACAGCCATGGATGTGGAGATCTGTTCCCACCTAAGAAGAGAGACGCAGCTCTTGGGCTGGCACAGACCGGGCCTCACGCTGGTGTGTAATGCAGACATTTCTCTGTGAAGCACCGACCAGAACTCCAAGGTTCTGAGTGACATCCCTGGGCACCTCTCACATGTCCGTCTCCTTCTTTCCTTCAGGGAACGAGAAAGTGTCAGCAATGGTAGGCAACAGCTCTGTGCTCACCTGCTCTCCCAAATCAAATATAACCATGGTAACATGGAAGATAAGCCCCAAGGTTGGAGGCCCCTGCACCTTGAGCTACAGGGCTGATCAGAACAAGACAAACAGAACAAACTGCAGTGACAGCGTGGACTGGAAGTTCAGACCAGATCGGGATCCCTCCCTTGAGATACGGCAAGTGGAAATAGCCCATGAAGGAAATTACACCTGTGAAGTAGTAGCAACAGAAGGGAATTTCCACAAGATGTACCAATTGACCGTGCTGGGTAAGGGACTCCTTCCTCATTTTACAGTCCTCCAAAGGACCTTGTCTGGGTCTAGACTTACAAAGCTCCTCGCCCCATGCACGGGGAAGGCATGCAGCAGGAAGAGAAGCTCTCTTGCTGGGATAAACTGTCATGCATTTCACTGATAGTAGCTCCGTTCTCCCCTTCTCCTTATTTCCCCAAACTCTTCTCCCTTCTGTTGTCCCCTTTTCCACTATCTAGTTAGAAACGACAGGTGTGAAGCAATTTCCAGGATACTAAAAGAGGACAGACCCACTTCCTCTTATGCTGGGATTCAAGTACATTTTAAACCACTTGTACAATGGCTACTTGGGACAAAAGTCTAATTCAGCCCTGTATTTGGGATAATTCCCTACTGCAGTGTCCAGGGCAACCTGCTCTAATGGTACATGGCTGTGGTAACAAACCCGGATGGGGAGAGTTGTCCAAAAGGAAAAGAAAGAAGCGCAATTTTTGTCTCTCGTGGCTCTGGCCCGTGCCACTGTAATGGGATGGCACCTCCAACCTTATTCTCCTCCTTTCACTGTGTTCGTTTTGGGTAGAGAACAAGAACATCCTATGCCAACTACAGCAAACTAACTCCACGCATGTCCCCTTCCTGATGCTTTGCAGTGCCCCCCAGGCTGACCCTGTACTGCGATGACAACGGGATCCCCGTGTGCAAGGCAGCGGTGGGGAAGCCGGCTGCTCAGATCTTGTGGGTCCTAGAGGGCATCTCCACCCCCAAGGAGGAAGGCCATGACAACGGGACAGTGACTGTTCTCAGCAATTTCACAGCATATAGCACCAACACGACTAATACAACCTGCATTGTGTCCCACCCAGCTGGGAACCAGAGCAGCTCCATAGCCTGTCATCCCCCAAGTAAGCTTCCCTTTGTGTGTTCAGCATTCAAAACCCCCTTTAGACCTCCGTGCACTAAGACAAAGTGGGAATGACAGGACTGCAGCTGGAACATTGCACCTGAGCTGAGGTTTACAGTGAGAAATTTGTTGGGAGGGAGAAGGGTAAACAAAAGTGCTGTCAGAACTGTAAAGTCCTTTGTGAAATTCTAGGAAGGGGGACGGATATAGTGGTCTTCCCTTCTACCAATAGAGCTGAATGGAAAGGCAGGATTATTCAGAAGTTCATGACACAAAAAGATGCCAATGGTATGATCACCCAGATCTACGTATTGTCATCCAGTAGTGCCATTATTTCTTGCTAATTGTTGGGTTACACATAGGTTGTGACAGGGAGACTGAAAGCCAATTCACAGCTTCCAAATACACCTGTAGCTGAAGGCTTTAGGTAGTGAAGTTGAAGATGTTGCTGGGAAGGTGTGCGCAATCATATGTACTTCACTGAAGTACTCAGTTGGAAGAGAATCAGAGCTGAAATTTGCTGGGATGCACATGCAAGGCCTGCAGCTGGGCTGTGGGAAGTGGTAAGGAGGAGGATCTGATTAGTGCCCATACAGCAAAAGACAAGGCTTCTCCATCAAGGACATGGGGTAATGTTGTTTATTCTCAGTTCTGTGCCCAGCACTGTATTCCAGCTATGTTAGGTCATCTTCCAAAGTACAGCATGAAGAGAGGATTGTCTAGAAAATGCCATCCTGACAGAGGCACATGGTAAACAAACAGTCTGTGAGATGTACCTAAAAGAGCAACTGTTTCTCTTTAGAGATTAGTACATGTCTTCTTCACTGTGACATCAGCCTTGTTAGTCTCCTGGACCTCCTTTTCCTGTTTGCTGTTCTTCATCTCTGCACCTTCTGCTGTAGCAGGTACATATGGGACATGATACACACAAACCCCTTTGGCCAGTCCTGAGGAAGTTTAGAAGGGCTCCTGGTACTAATTCATGTCAGGTGTGGTCACCTCAGTATGTCCCAAACATGCCAGTTCAGCACAGGTTCATGGAGGTTTTTCTGAGGTCTGTAACACTGCTGGGGCAGAGGGGGAGGGAGTCCATACATGAGTGTTAGGGACCTTCTTGCTGCTGACATACTTCTTTCAGAAGCATAAATACAAAGGGAATGGTTATTTTTTTCCACCCAATTGAGGGATCTGAACGAAGATTGCCAGGATATGAAGTTTAAAGAGGCAGCAAAATATCCTTCTGAGCTTGGAGCCAGACTTTTGGTCCATTTTGACTTACTCAGAGGAAGCCAGGGCCAAGGTAGAAATGCAGGAAGTATTGCATGAGAGCAGAACAGGTCTGCTGTTGTAACTGCTCAGGAGTTTTGGCAGCAGTCTGACAGCTTGGCTGATTACTCTATCTGAGCTAGCCTCTCTATCACAAGGTGCCATTGCTGCCCAGAATTACCATACAAACACCAGAGGCAGAATTAACTACTGTGTTCAAGTCACTTGAGCTCCACGCTTTGCTGGGCCTCTTGGCAGCTCTGTTTAGTGCTGGCTGGAGCATGGCCAGCTCTGGTCATGCTCACGTAAGATTACAGTCACAAAGCCTTATGTTCCAAACAAAGGGGAGGAATTATGTTCTTATATTCATAGAGCCCAAAATCACATTCCCAAAACAGCCTTGTCCTCACACTTACAGTATTGGTGTCTTCTTTCCTAGGAGAAGAAGAAATCAGTACAAGCCAGGCCATCTTCCATCTGCAGAGCTGTCTGGGCCTGTTTCTAACTCAGCACCTGAGCAGAGATGAAAGAAACTCCCAGTGTGCCTCAGTCAGCAATGTGACATGCAGCAGGGACTCACGAGTACCAAAGTGTTCAGGAGAAAGAAGCAAACATATCCAGTGCAGCCAGTGTAACTGTGCAGAAATAATTATAGATGCTGTTATCATTCATGCAAGTATCAAACTTTTTTAATAAAACCAAATCTAACATACATGCAATAGGAAGCTAATTCATGTTGCATAAAATGAGGTCACTCCATTTCAAATGCCTTGCATCCTAGTATTTAAGTATCATGTCTTATAGGATAAAATAAATCAGAAGAAATTTTCTGGCATACAGAATGAGCAGCAACCTTCCCAGGACGATCACACAGGACTGAAGCTAAATTTGAGTAACTCTCATTTTCACTATAAGAATTTTGAGGTGTTTCACCAACAGCTACAAAAAAGGGAGAGGCAGAGAATATTTGAGCTTGAGCAGTTATTGCTACATGAAACACAGAAATTATTACAGTCATGAGATCCGAGCCTCACACTCATTTACCCTTTACATAATCTAGAGATCCTCAGCCCACAGAATACAGATCTCTAATCTTAATTTATTTAAACACATTTTACTGGTCCTATCACAAGGGAGCCCTTGAGTTTCATCTTTCATTTGATGACATACTGCCACTACTAAGCCTCTAAACATAGCTGTGCCTCTTCACCATTTCTTAGCTTCTATTCTGAGTAGACATGACTAGAGCTGAATATTACTATGCACCCGAAATTTCAAAGGAACCACGGGTATTTCAGACTCACCTCACTCCTCCATGCTCAACAGAAATCCAAGTCTCATTTATGTTACTGTACAGAAGACTTCAAACTAATACATCTAGAGACCTATTCCACTTGCTATAGTCATTCAATTTCCTAAATATCTGCAATGAGATGTTAATGATACTCCTGTGCGATGTCATCTTATGTAAGAGCAGAAGTGGGAAGGTACTGCAGGAGCACCTTTCTTAAGCATGGTACCCTGTGTTTATGTATTTCACATGCCCAGGCTACAGAGCTGTTAGGCCTGTTTCTGGTTCAAGACCATGTAAGGAACCTGATAGTGCACAAGTGGGACCTGATGAGATTCATCCATGGGTCCTGAGGGACCTGGCAGATGAAGTGGCTAAGCCACTATCCGTCATATTTGAGAAGTTGTAGCAGTCTGGTAAAGTTACCACTGTCTGAAAAAGAGGAAACACAACCCCCATCTTTAAAAAGGGAAAAAAGGAAGACCTGAGGAACTACAGGCCAGTCAGTCTCACCCCTGTGCCTGGCAAGATCATGGAGTGGATCCTCCTGGAAACTATGCCAGGGCGCATGGTAAATAAGGTGATTGGTGACAGCCAACATGGCTTCACTGAGGGCAAATCATGCCTGACAAATGTGGTGGCCTTCTGTGATGGGCGATTACAGTGTTGGTGGATAAGGGAAGAGCAACTGAAGTAATTTACCTGGACTTGTGCAAAGCATTTGACACTGTCCTGCATGGCATCCTTGTTTATAAATTGGAGAGACATGGGTTTGATTGGTGGACCACTCGATGGATGATGAATTGGCTGGATGGTCACACTCAAAGAGTTGTGGTCAACAGCTCAATGTCCAAGTGGAGAGCAGTGATGAGTGACGTTCCTCAGGGATCGGTGTTGGGACCGGTGCTGTTTTTAACATCTTTATTGGCAACCCGAACAGTGGGACTGAGCACACCCTCAGCAAGTTTGCCAGTGACACCAAGCTGTGTGGTGCAGTTGACATGCTCGAGGGAAGGGATGCCATCCAGAGGGACTTTGACAGGCTGGAGAGGTGGGCCTGTGCAAACCTCATGAAGTTCAACAAAGCCAAGTGCAAGGTCCTGCACATGGGTTCAGGCAATCCCAGGCACAAATACAGGCTGGGTGAGGAGTGGACTGAGAGCAGACCCAAGGAGAAGGACTTGGGGGTATCAGTGGATGGAAAACTGACTGTGAGCCAGCAATGTGCGCTCACAGCCCAGAAAGCCAACTGTGTCCTGGGCTGCATCAAGAGAAGTGTGGCCAGCAGGTCGAGGGAGGGGATTCTCCCCCTCTACTCTGCTCTCGTGAGACCCCCCCTGCAGTGCTGTGTCCAGCTCTGGGCCCCCAGTGTAAGAAGGACATGGACCTGCTCAAGCAGGTCCAGAGGAGGCCACGAAGATCATCGGGGGGCTGGAGCAGCTCCCCTGGGAGGCCAGGCTGAGAGAGTTGGGGTTGTTCAGCCTGGAGAAGAGAAGGCTCCGGAGAGAACTTATAGCGGCCTTGCAGTACTTAAAGGGGGCTACAGAAAAGCTGGGGAAGGACTCTTTATCAGGGGGTGTAGTGATAGGACAAGGGTTAATGGTTTAAAACTGACATAGGGTAGATTTAGATTAGTTGTAAGGAAGAAATTCTCCACCATCAGAGTGGTGAGTCACTGGCCCAGGGTGCCCAGGGAAGCTGTGGCTGCCCCCTCCCTGGAAGGGTTCAAGGCCAGGTTGGATGGGGCTGGGAGCAACCTGGGCTGGGGGAAGGTGTCCCTGCCCGTGGCAGGGGGGTTGGGACTACATGATCTTTAAGGTCCCTTCCAACCCAAACCATTCTATGATTCTATACTCTTCACAACCCTTCTACAACCCTTCCAATCCTGGACTAAGTTTTTGTTTGTTTGTTTGTTTTGGTTTGGTTTTTTTGTTTGTTTGTTTTCTTTTTCCCCCACTAGCTGTTTAAGCATTTTTTTTTTTTTTTTAATATTTTGAGAGTATCAGTTACACAGATCTAGCTCTCAGGTAGCAATCTGAGCTTAGAATTGGGGCATTAATATGTTACAGAGAAGGTAAAACAGAAGCCAAAGTACTAAACTCTGGGCATTGGGGGCTCTTTGCGGGGGGCAAACCTGCACAAGTGTCCACAAACCTCAGCTGTTCTGAGGGCATCAGTGAATCTCAGCCACATTTATTGGCTTTGCTGGAGTGCATTGTGCACACAGACGAGGTTTAAGGCTGGCAAGATAGGGCCATTTCCCAGACCCCCTGGCCGGAAGAATACCTGACTAAAGCTGAGTTAGATAGCATTGCAAGTGCAGGGAAGAGGAGAAGGTAGAGAACAGGAAACTCCACGGCTTCCACAAAGCCAGAACATGATCCTGATCTCCGTTGTTCATTCCCTACTTCTACCCATGGCTGACCCCATCTCAAGATTTGTGAGCCTCATTTCACATCTGAACCAGCTAGTGAATGAGCCAGGACCAAAACCTCACATAAACTTCAGTAATAAAAAAAATAAGCTTTTCAGTCTTGTCACACTAACATATAGAACAGTTACCTAGATTTATACAGAAAAGGAAATGCCGTGTCACCGCACTCTCTCCTTTGTGCAGCTTTTCTACCACTACCTTGCTGCCCCTCACCCATTCCTGGTGCAGCCAATAAACTGGTGTAAATCAGTGCCTGGTGTGGTTTCTGCAGAAAGACACCTGCAGGATGTAGACAATCATTCTGCTGGCACAGTGCCCTGAAATTGCTCATTTCATGTTTACAGACACAGCCCCATTCCATCCATCTGTTGTCATGTAGGGCTGTTTGGTCACAACAGAGTCTGAACTCTGCAGAGCTGACACACAATGCGAATGAACCTGGGGACAAGAGCTAGAAGAATAAACAATTCAGAGGCTAACAAAATTACTTCTAATTCTTTGTGGTTACCTAACTGATTTATGAAAAGGCCAACAAGCAGAAAACCACACTGACTTTAGCTGATATTTGTAGCTATCCTAGTAACTGAGTTTCCACAGTGCAAGTCAACTGACTGCATGCAAGTGGTACTCAGCTAAATCTCATTTCTGCAGCAGCTAAGCTAGCATTGAGCACCTACACATGCAAACCTACAGGCAAATACATGGCTTTTCCACCAGCAGTCTCATTTGATGTTAAGACCAGCTGCAAATCTGTTATGTGCTTGGCTCTTACTAAGTATATTACAGACAAAAGAACTACACAGAGAAGACTCATCTTCCTTTCCTCTCTTCACAAACTGCAGGCCAAGTCAAAATTTCAAAGATATCAACAAAGACATGCCCTAGGTTAGCAATAGCCCACTGGTGTCAGTGGCATACAGAATGTGTTCTTGTTGAGCTCTACTTACAACATTTCTTTTCCTTTTCTCCAGATTGGTCAGGTTGCCAACCAGAAAGAAAAATATCTCACAATCTTTGTTGCAGTTCCTATTCAAATGGCTCAGAGTCTCTCTATCCTCCATCAGGGATGAAAGAAATCAGACTCATATATCAGAGGCCACAGGATTCTATAACCAGACTTGCCCCTACTCCTTGGCCTATTTACTCTCAAGGCCATCACAAATCCTTCTGCTGGAGGAAAGGGTAAAGCAACCTAAGCTTTCTACAGTCAGAGTTTCAGCCCGGTCTCCTGGGAAACTACTGGAGCAACTAAGAACATTTTTTCCATTCTCTCACTGGACACCCCCTCTTCTTACTAGTGTGTTCACCATGTGATAATGAAAGATTTGATTAGAATGTGCTACGTTGAATTTATAGCTGTTATAGCTGTTTAGGTCTTAATTGGCAGGCTTCTGTGCTTGCCATGGGGCTTGCTTGCCTCACTGTATATTAGAGTCTAGAGCTCATTAGTGGTTGCTTCTGCTGCTTCCTCTACTGCTGATCATCTCACTCTACTGTGCCTGGGAATATTCTGATAACAGCAATGGTGATGTGCCTGGGCTGGCAGATAGCCGGGGCATTTCTGCTGTTTCTGTGCTGCTGAACTGGACAGGCTGGAACTCTTGTGAACACGAGTTGAAGGGACTGTGACCTGTGGATGAATCCACATGGGAGCAGGGGACACACACCCCAAAACGTCAGTGACTGTGCATAAGCCCATGCCAGAGCAGGTATTCCTCGAAGCATCTGTGGCTGCAGTTATGTCTATGTCACAGCAGGTATAACTCTGAAGGGATTGTAGCCCAAGGATAAGTCCACACTGGAGAAGGTACACCTTGAAGCATCTGAGGCTGTGGATAAGTCCATGCTGCAGCAGGCACACCTTGAAGCATTGGTGGTTGTGCATGAGGTCATACTGAAACACCTTGAAGTGTCTGTGATTGTGGCTAAGTCCATGACACAGCAGGTACACCCCTGAAGGGACTGTGG